ATTTAATTAATAATGGGATAGCGTTCCTAAAAATAAAGTATATTAAAAAGTTGAATTTTAAGGTGTTGATGATCTTGAATTAGATAACGATGGCCCTGCAGGTGGAATTTATTAAAAATTTGAAAACAAATTATAGGATGGTACTATAGAAAAATCTATATAGGTTTGGATTAGACTTACTCCTTATGTTAAAAGAACTGAGTGGACTAACTGTTTCTTTTTGGGTTAAAACTAAGAATTTAATGATAATTCATATTTGGGAGATAGATCACTAACATTATATGTAATAGATAATATTTTACATTTCCCTACTTATGACTTAAATACTAAAAAAGTTAATTATAATTAAAATTTAAATTTTGAATAATCAGAAGAAGGAAAATGGTGTCTTATCTATTTCGGATATTCCCATTTATAATAAAAAGCATTTGTTTATAGTTAATTCTAAGGTTCTTAAGCTAAGGTTTTAAATTATAATGGAATAAGACATAAATCTTCTAATATTTACCATTTATTTGTAGGGCAAAGACCTTCATATAAAAATTTCCCAGGAAGAATCGTTAATTTAATTTTCTGTGGAGGATCTGGCTGTTATAGAGAAGATGGATTTAATTAATAGTGGGATAGCGTTCCTAAAAATAAATTATATTAAAAATTTGAATTTTAAGGTGCTAATGATCTTGATTTAGATTAAAATGAACCTGATGCAGGTACTTATTAAAAATTTGAAAACAAATTATAGGCTGGTACTATAGAAAAATCTATATAAGTATGGATTAGACTTACTCCTTATGTTAAAAGAACTGAGTGGACTAACTGTTTCTTTTTGGGTTAAAACTAAGAATTTAATGATAATTCATATTTGGGAGATAGATCACTAACATTATATGTAATTAATAATATGCTACATTTCCCTACTTATGACTATAATAGTTAAACTGTTAATTATGCTTAAAATATAAATTTTGAATAATCAGAAGAAGGAAAATGGTGTCTTATCTATTTTGGATATTCTGATTTATAATAAAAAGCGTTTGTTTATATTTAATTTTAAGGTTCTGAACCTAAAGTTTTGAATTATAATGGGATTAAACATAAATCTTCTGATGTTTACCATTTATTTGTTGGTTAAGCATTTTAATATAAAAATTTCCCTGGAAGAATTATTAATTTATAATTATGTGGAGGTTCTGAATGTTATAGAGAAGAGAAAGTCGAATAAGTATGGGATAAATTTCCTAAATATAAAATAATTTAAAAAGTAGAAATTTTAGGTGCTGACGATCTTGCATTAGATTATTATGATAATTCTGCTGGTACTTATTAAAAATATGAAAATAGATTTTAAGCTGATACTATAGAAAAATCTATATCTGTATGGATTAGACTTACTCCTTCTATTAAAAGATCTGAATTGGCTAATTGCTTCTTATTAAGTTAAAATTCATAACTTTAAGATAATGCAGTTTTAGGAGATTAATCACTTGCATTATATGTAATTAATAATGTGTTACAATTCTCTACTTATGACTTAAATACTTAAAAAGTTAATTATTCTTAAAATATTAATTTTGAATAAACAGAGGAAGGAAAATGGTGTTTCATCTATTTCGGATATTCTGAGCAATAATAAAAAGTATTTATTCATAGTTAATTCTAAGGTTCTGAACCTAAGGTTTTGAACTTTAATGGAATTAGTCATAAATCTTCTGATGTTTACCATTTATTTGTTGGTTAAGCATTTTCATATAAAAATTTCCCAGGAAGAATCGTTAATTTATTATTATGTGGAGGTTATAAATGTTATTAAGAAGATAGGTTAGAATAAGTTTTGAATAATGTTCCTTAAAACAAAATATATTCAAAAGTTGAATTTAAGGTGTTGATGATCTTGAATTAGATTAACGATGGCCCTGCTGGCGGAATTTATTAAAAATTTGAAAACAGATTATAAGCTGGTTCTATAGAAAAATCTATTTAGGTATGGATAAGACTTACTCCTTATATTAAAAGAACTGAGTGGACTAACTGTTTCTTTTTGGGTTAAAACTAAGAATTTAATGATAATTCATATTTGGGAGATAGATCACTAACATTATATGTAATTAATAATATGCTACATTTCCCTACTTATGACTATAATAGTTAAACTGTTAATTATGCTTAAAATATAAATTTTGAATAATCAGAAGAAGGAAAATGGTGTCTTATCTATTTCGGATATTCTGATTTGTAATAAAAAGCATTTGTTTATAGTTAATTCTAAGGTTCTTAAGCTAATGTTTTAAATTATAATGGAATTAGTCATAAATCTTCTAATATTTACCATTTATTTGTTGGTTAAGCATTTACTTACAAAAATTTCCCTGGAAGAATCGTTAATTTAATTTTCTGTGGAGGATCTGGCTGTTATAGAGAAGATGGATTTAATTAATAGTGGGATAGCGTTCCTAAAAATAAATTATATTAAAAAGTTGAATTTTAAGGTGCTGATGATCTTGAATTAGATAACGATGGCCCTGCAGGCGGAATTTATTAAAAATTTGAAAACAAATTATAGGCTGGTACTATAGAAAAATCTATATAAGTATGGATTAGACTTACTCCTTATGTTAAAAGAACTGAGTGGACTAACTGTTTCTTTTTGGGTTAAAACTAAGAATTTAATGATAATTCATATTTGGGAGATAGATCACTAACATTATATGTAATTAATAATATGCTACATTTCCCTACTTATGACTATAATAGTTAAACTGTTAATTATGCTTAAAATATAAATTTTGAATAATCAGAAGAAGGAAAATGGTGTCTTATCTATTTTGGATATTCTGATTTATAATAAAAAGCGTTTGTTTATAGTTAATTCTAAGGTTCTTAAGCTAATGTTTTAAATTATAATGGAATAAGACATAAATCTTCTAATATTTACCATTTATTTGTAGGACAAAGACCGTCATATAAAAATTTCCCAGGAAGAATTGTTAATTTAGTATTCTGTGGAGGATCTGGCTGTTATAGAGAAGATGGATTTGAATAAGTATGGAATAAATTTCCTAAATATAAAATAATTTAAAAAGTAGAAATTTTAGGTGCTGACGATCTTGCATTAGATTATTATGATAATTCTGCTGGTACTTATTAAAAATATGAAAATAGATTTTAAGCTGATACTATAGAAAAATCTATATCTGTATGGATTAGACTTACTCCTTCTATTAAAAGATCTGAATTGGCTAATTGCTTCTTATTAAGTTAAAATTCATAACTTTAAGATAATGCAGTTTTAGGAGATTAATCACTTGCATTATATGTAATTAATAATGTGTTACAATTCTCTACTTATGACTTAAATACTTAAAAAGTTAATTATTCTTAAAATATTAATTTTGAATAAACAGAAGAAGGAAAATGGTGTTTCATCTATTTCGGATATTCTGAGCAATAATAAAAAGTATTTATTCATAGTTAATTCTAAGGTTCTGAACCTAAGGTTTTGAACTTTAATGGAATTAGTCATAAATCTTCTGATGTTTACCATTTATTTGTTGGTTAAGCATTTTCATATAAAAATTTCCCAGGAAGAATCGTTAATTTATTATTATGTGGAGGTTATAAATGTTATTAAGAAGAGGGATTTAAATTAAATTTGAGTAATGTCCCTTAAAATAAAATTATTTAAAGATTAGAAATTTAAGGTGCTGATGATCTTGATTTAGATTACAATGGCCCTGCTGCAGGTACTTATTAAAAATATGAAAACAAATTATAGGCTGGTATGATAGAAAAATCTATATAGGTATGGATAAAACTTACTCCTTATATTAAAAGGTCTGATTTGGCTAATTGTTTCTTATTAAGTTAAAATTCATAACTTTAAGATAATGTCGTTTTAGGAGATTAATCACTTGCATTATATATAATTAATAATAATTTACAATTCTCTACTTATGACTAAAACAGCTAAAAAATTAATTATTCTTAAAATATTATTTTTGAATAATCTGATGAAGGTAAATGGTGTCTTATTTATTTCGGATATTCTGATTTATAATAAAAAGCATTCATTTATACCTAATTTTAAGGATCTCATCCTCGAGTTTTGAACTTTAATGGAATTAGTCATAAATCTTCTTATGTTTACCATTTATTTGTTGGTTAATCATTTTCATATAAAAATTTCCCAGGAAGAATAGTTAATTTAGTATTATGTGGAGGATCTGGCTGTTACAAATAAGATGAATTTGATTAATTATGGAATAATACTCCTTAAGAAAAATAATATCCTTAAGTATCTGTTTCAGTACTTTCTGATTAAAGTTTTGATGAGAACTCTAATGGATTATATAATAAATATGAAAATAAATTTAATGGAATTTAAGAATTTTCAATTTAATGTTGGATTAGAATTCATCCAAACTCTAATAGAGAAAATATGTCTACTGTTTATCACCTTAACTAAAACTAAGATCCTAAAAATTATTAATAACTTGGTGACAGAGTTCTTTCATTGTTTGTTATTAATAACACTTTACATTTCTCTACTTATGATTATAATACTAATAATGTTAATTCTTCTAAATAAGTTACATTTGAAAATTAATAAATTGGTGTTTGGGCTTTAATTTATCATACTTATACTCCTGATTTGTAAAAAGCATATATCCATACTTAATTCTAAGGATCTAATCCTGTAGTTATACACTATCCAGGAATCAGTCATAGTAAATCAAATGTTTATCATCTATGGGTTGGGTAAAGCTTTATTTATAAAGTTTTCCCTGGACGTATTATTAATTTAAATTTATGCGGAGGAACAGGATGTTATAGAGAAAAAGATATAGCTTTTTCAAGAAACTTTAGTGGAAGTATTATTGTTGAAAAAGTTAACGCTTTTATTTCTGCTGAATCTACTGAGCTATCTAATGAAGAATAATTAGAATAAGAAAAAGAATAATTGGCTTTATTATAAATCAATAAAAAGAATCTTAAAAGAATTCATAAATGAAATAAATTTTATTTTATAATTTGAAGAAATATATATATATATCAAAATATGTATTATTTTTTCAAAAATATATCTTATATTATCGTAAATTTAAAAGATTTATATATTTTTATTTATTTACTTATATTTTATATCTATTTTTATATTATTATTTTATTTTAAATAAAATTAATATTTTTTACTTTTAATTTAATAATGGAAAATATCAGAAGAATTATTAAAAAAATTCCATTGATGAATAACTATTTTCAAAATTATAATTTAAAGCATGAATTATATATGAAAAACAATAAAAAAGAAGTTCTATTATTATATAGATAATTCATAAAAATTATTCCAAAATCATTTATAAGAAAACTTGAAATATAAGCAAGGCTTGAAGTAATAAAAAAAGATTTAAAATAAATACATAATATATAGAAATGTAAGTTTATTTTTAGGGAAAGTAGTGTAGAAAAATTTATTGAAAATATTTATTTATATAAATAAACAGTAAATGAAAGTATATTAAAAAATAAATATATTATATTTTTAAAAGAAATGTATAATTTTTAAAT